GTTGATGTAGAACAAAAACATGATTCAGCCTGCAACGTCTTTCCTCCTCGATGCATTAAAGGACAACAAACCCGAGCAAGGCCCACTCCAAACCCGTGTGCTGGAGATGAATCTCATGCACGCCCCACAAGTCGCGGATGCTATCCTTGGCAATGAGATGTTCACGCACTACAACCGTCCACGGATCGCCAACCTTTGCAAGAAAGCTGGATTGATGCAGAGGGTATGTATTCTAGTCTTAGCTTGTGACCGTTATTCTAACTATTGTGCAGGCTCTTGAGCAATATGAGGATTTGGCAGACATCAAGCATGTTATCGTTCATGCAACGACATTCCCGGTCGAGGTAGGTTATCTCGATTCACAATTGGTTTCCGATGCTAATGATTATTCCTAGTGGCTTACCAACTACTTCAGTTGCTTGACCACTGAGCAGTCAATGGCATGCCTTCAGGAAATGCTCCGTGTCAATATACGCCAGAACCTTCAAGTGGTCATCCAGATTGCCACCAAATATTCTGATATTCTTGGTCCTGTTAAATTAATCGAGATGTTTGAGAGCTATAAGACATTCGAGGGTGTGTTTCCTGGTTGTCCCTCTGTTCTATACTCTTATTAGGTCTACTACTACCTTGGCTCATTCGTCAATCTTAGCACTGACCCCGAGGTACATTTCAACTATATCCAAGCTGCCACGAGGACCGGTCAGATTCACGAAGTTGAGCGCATCTGTTGAGAAAGCAATTACTATAACCCGGAGAAGGTCAAAAATTTCCTCAAGGAAGCCAAGCTCAGAGATCAGCTTCCCCTCATCATTGTTTGCGACCGTTTCGACTTTGTCCATGACCTTGTTCTTTATCTCTACCAAAACAACCTCACCAACTTCACCGAGGTGTATGTCCAGAGGGTCAACTCCATCCGCACACCCCGGGTGGTTGGCGGTTTGTTGGATGTCGACTGCGATGAGAACACTATCAAGGCTCTCCTTCGCCTCTGTCACTGGCAACTTCCTGTCGCCGAGCTCGTGCATGAAGTCGAGCAACGCAACCGATTGAAGTTGATTCTTCCTTGGCTTGAGGCGAGAGTTCAGGCTGAGAGCCAGGACGCAGCTCTTTACAACGCGATTGCGACTTCGTTGCCGCCGAGCACGAAACTCCCTACATCCCGAACATTCTCACACTCCGCCACATTTAACGTTCTCAGATTGCTGGCTGTACTCAGCCGCAAGTCTGCGTTCTACATTGTGCCAGCGACTCTCCTTCTCTTCACTTCGGCCATCGATTCCCCCTCACCACCGGTTGTAGGCTGCACTCAGCTATCATAAATGCTTATCGATCCGTGTGCTACTCTTCATCAATTGTGCAAGTTTACCACGCGCAACGTGTCTACTTTCTGGCACTCATGTCTCATTTTCCATTGGCTAACTGGCGCCCCATCCTGATATAATATATATATATATCTCTTCTTATCTTCCACCTTGTAATGGATCCTTTTTCATGTCTAGTCGATGGCTGCCCCAAAAGTTTTCCGATATCTAGCGCGCTGCAGAGACATATGCAGCATGACTTTGGATCCCGCGCACCACAAAGCTTACTATTCACAATATTCTGATTTAAGCTTTGTTCTACCTGCCACATCCGAACCACAGCATTCCGCTTCACATTCCTCGTCTTCCTCCGTGATCTCCCGCATGGAATCAGTTGAAGAAGTCCTCGATAATCGCAACTCTCCCACTTATATCGAAGTCAACGACAACGATAATCATGACTTTGCAATCGACGATAACGACAGCGAAAATGATGATGCAGCCTCTACCTTTTCTGATGAAAGCGACGTCGCTTCACTGGAGATCAATGAAGTGGTCGACGTCGATGAGACAGTCGACGTCGATGATGGTTGATGTCAATGAGATGGTTGACGTCGATGAGATGGCTGCCATAGACGCAATTATGGCAGATGCTTCAGGCAAGCAAGACTTGCTGCATGAAGATAACATCGATTATTATTGGCCTTCCTCCCCTGGATCTGACTCCGATCCCCCTGATTCCCCTATTCGCCAGCTCGATGATATCCCCGAAGCAAGAGTAATCGATTGGCATCCAACTGCTGGCGCTGTCATCCCCGGCGGTTTAGAGCAGAATGTATATGAAAGATGGGACAGATTGTTTGGTGCAAAGACAGACATGGCCAATTCAGGCTACAAGCCATTTTCCTCTCGGCTCGATTGGGAAATAGCTCAATGGGCTGTCAAAGAGAAAATCGGTCATGGGTCGCTTAATCGTTTACTGGCTATACCTGAGGTGAGGGTAATATCAGTGTTTCCTTTTCACCTTGCTAAAAAAAACTTCAGTTAAAAGATCGACTGGGACTCTCCTTCAAGGACACGCGTACCATGTTCGACATAATCGACGAACTCCCCGAACGTTGTGGAACCTGGAAAACCAAACAGTTTACTTTCAAAGATCAGCCTAACGAGCGTTTCATTTTCCACCATTGAGATCCTATAGAAGCAATTCGTAGTATCTGGGGTGACCCTGCCTTTGCTGATTACTTGGTCTACAAACCTGGCAAATTTTTTGCTTCCAAAAGTTGTCGTCGTGAGGAGCGTATTTTCCATGAGATGTGGTCTGCGAATGAGTGGCATGCTATCCAGGTACGTAAGCCCAAATCCAATTTTTAGTTCAACATCTCACCGACCATATCAGGACCTGCTACCAGTCGGTGCTACCATGGCTCCTGTAATCATTGCATCGGACAAGACTCAATTAACCAATTTCAGTGGAGGGAAAGCAGCCTACCCAGTCTACCTTACCATAGGCAACCTTCCGAAAGCAATTAGGCGGAAACCGAGTGCACACTGCCTGCGTACTCCTTGCGTATCTATCTGTTAATAAACCGGTCAAGAAAAGGCAAGGTATCTCGAAGAAAACGTTACGCCTCCGAAACTATCAGCTCTTTCATCGGTCAATGGCAGAGGTTCTCGCACCTCTGAAGACCATGGGCCGCAAGGGCATTGTGATGGTCAGCGGTAACGGACAAAAACGCAAGGTTCACCCAATTCTTTCCTCATACGTGGCCTGACTATCCTGAGCAATGCTTAGTTACGTGCACCAAGTATGGAACGTGCCCCAAGTGCCGTCGAAAAGCAACTGAACTCGAGAATCAGACTCTTGGTGAAGAGCGCACCCAGCTCTGGACTGAAGGAGTAATCAGGAAAGCTAGATCGAAGGGTAAAACTCCCAGTGCCATTCATTCGCTTGCGATGGAAGACGATGTTGCTGGTGGGGACTATGATCCTTTCTGGAAAGGATTTCCCTACTGTGATATCCATGATGCAATAATGCCAGATGTTTTGCATCAACTATACCAGGGGGTTATCAAACACTTAATCTCCTGGATTCAGTCATTGATGACCAAGGACGAGTTTGATTCTCGACTACGGTCCCTTCCTCCTGCATTCGGTGTTCGTCATTTCAAGGACGGTATATCTAACCTAAGCCAAGTCACTGGGCCAGAGAGAAAAACGCTATCGAAGATCCTCATTGCCTGTCTTGTTGGCAAGATAGATTCCCGTGGTATTATTGCAGCCCGCAGTCTCTTGGATTTCATCCATCTTGTACAATACCCTTCTCATGATGGTAGGACCCTACGGTATGCAGAGGAGGCGCTGGACTCCTGGCATGCTAATAGGGCTTACTTCAAGGAAAAGGAAGTTCGTGACCACTTCAATATTCCCAAATTTCATTCTCTCTTACACTACATCCCTTCGATTAAGCTCAAAGGGACAACAGACAATGGCAATACAGAAGCATTCGAGCACCTTCACATCACCTTTGCTAAAGATGGCTGGCGAGCAAGTAATAAGAGGGATGCCTTCCCACAGATGATTACTTGGCTCTCTCGACAGGAGAAGGTGGCCTCCTACGATTTCTTCAGGCAATGGAAAAGCCGCACTAAATTGGAGGAAGGTGGTCTTGAAGATGATGTTGAAGATGATGCAATGCCAGTCACTGACCCTGGTGAGGCTGAGGTTGTGGTTGCTCTGGATCGAGAAATTTGGTGTCCGATTAGCCAAGCGCGCACCGGAGCCAAACAAAACCCTTGAAAAAATTTCTTGCGATCATAATGCGCCTATGTTCGTTGATGCTTTGAAGCGTTTTATCAACGGACTTCGTAAAGAGCCATTGCCACGAAAGAAGTTACTCACAACCCCACTTCCTTTCGCTAGATTGGATGTGTGGCACCAGGTCAAAATTGCTCCGTTGGGTCTATTTGAAGATGAAGAATTGTCAGAAACTGTGAAGGCAGTGCCCATATGGAGACATTCAGATTTTAGCCGTTTTCGATACCGTCATTGTCTTGCAAGATGAACAAGCGGAGTCCACAGGTGTTGCAGGTAAGAAAACTTGTGTCACAATGAGTCTGCCATCGTTCTTACACTTTCAGGATGTCGCGCTGGTCGTATTCGAGTAATCTTTTACCTTCCGGATCATGTAGGTCCGAACTTGCTCCGTCGACCATCACCTCAAGATTGGAAAAATTACATGGGACAGCCCCTTGCATTTGTCGAGTGGTACTCAAAATTCAAGGGTCCTAACAAAGATACCATGATGTATGCTGTCGATAAAGTGGAACTGAACGGAGCCCCTCAACATACAAGTATTATACCTGTTGCAAACATCCGACAATGTTGCATGCTCACGCCAAACGTGTCGTCGAAGATGCCTTGGGTAAGCGAGTGGGAGTCATGGAACATTTTAGATGAGTGTAAAAGGTTTTTCGTGAATAACTTTCAGAGTAAGTACGCATATGGTACAATTTATTAAAAGTAGCAGGTGAACGGTGAATTAAAGACTGTCAAAGGCTGATAAATGTCTCAAGGAAGTAAGCCCCAATAATGTAGTGTATACTGGGTACTCTGGAAGCGGATGAGAGGGATTTTTAAGATTTACAGTAGTCGTGATAACCTACATAACAGCATACCGAGACGTCCCTCCTGCGTCCCTCAGTGGTGGAGTGGTGCACACGCTTTTCGCTTATTTCGATGTTTACACTTTTCGGAAAAGTAATATGGGTTCGATTCCCATCTGAGGCATGCATATCTATATTGAGGGAGATATTTTTCCCTCTTTGTCATTACTTACTCTTCAGTGTTGCCGAAAGAGGCTTTCTTAAAATCATCATTGCCTTTTATGAGACATTGAGCGGCGTGACCTCTGTTGGACAGTCTTCTGTTCTTCCAGTGTTCTTCCATCATGTAACACCAATTTCTGGCTGCACTCAGCCGAATCTTTTTCGTTTTCAACTCGAATTGCAGGCTATGTTCAGTCGCTAGTAACCTCTCAATGACTGACGGGCTCTATCACCGGGCTGCTTTCTCTTTACTTTATCCAGGACGCCTTCAGATTTTCCACACATTTTCTTTGCCTTCCTACCATGGACTATTCGATTTCAATTTCATTCAGGCTGTACTCAGCCGAATCTCAACTTCATCGGCGACTCATCTTGCAGGCTGTCCTCAGCCGCCTTTCCAGCGATAGAATGATTGTCCAGCTGAAGCGCTTTCTGCTATCTATATCGCTCGGTAAGTGTCTTCAGTGGAGTTGGGTTGAGGTTGAACTCACGATAACTTGTCTGTAGATTGCATCGCAATGCAGCGCATATTCAAAAATCATCTCATATACCCAAGTGTCCTCTTCCAGAGTCTCGCTTGTACAGTTTGGAAAATGCAGCGTCCGGTTCAAGTGGATTCGTCGAATGTTTTTGTAGGCTGCACTCAGCCGCTTGAAATCATTCAATGTATCGGTATGCTCATGAAACTTCTTCTAGCTTGAAGCTTTACTGATACTTCTTTCTTCAGTCACACTGTATGAAGTCGCTTCTCGTGATGCTTGGGCAAACCTTATCCGAATGACTGGTGGCTCTTTCTTACCACTACTTTATCTAGGGTGAGATTGGACATGACACATCTTCTCAAACCAACACTGAGGTGTTTGGTCTACAGCTATGTACCGCGCAGCTGAACATCTGCTCATGCTTATTGCTGTGGCGGCATGCTTTGCGTACTATTGCTATCGATCGATGGCCCTACATATTCTACCAACATATACAATTGATGGAATGCATGCTGCGCTTCTTCCATCGCATTCTGTTATACGGACCACTCTATCGATGCCTCATTACGGCCATCTCCGTTTGTCTCACGTTGCAGGCTGTTTAAGGACGCCTTGATCTATTCTTCGCTTTACTTCTCACTTCGTCCGCGATGGAATCTGCGAATACGTTCCACTGTCCCGTATCTGGATGCTCCCAGTCCTACATATCCTACCTTGCACTTCAAAAACATCTCATAGATTCGTTTGATTTCCATGCGCACATCTTTGCGGCATCTGAGACCTCTGTGACTTCCCTCCCGTTTGACAACGATGCTCTTCTCTCTGCAGATTTAAACGGGGATCGCGACGAAGGACGGTCAATGTCTCTCCAGGGAGCCCGAAGCAGAGATGAAACAGATCGACATCCAGAAGCAAGGACTCATTCCCAATGCAACCTTCATAGATGGAGTGGATGAATATCTTCTTCTCGACCAGTCTCTAGCTTCGGACCGCGCCGAATTGCTACCCAAAATGTATCAACAGGGCGAGGCTTGTGAGCCTCGTCAGCCTCAGACTCAGCAATTGTTGCGTTACGCTTTTCTCAATGAACTCGATGCTTTGCTGGCGGATGTGCGACCCGGGCTAGGGATCATGACAGCAGATTGCCCTGAAGTAGCAGAGGCTCCGGGAAGCATGCCGCAACAATCTGCTCTATGCCCAAGGTGCACCAGATATTGAGAAGGAACGGCACAGTCAAGGCAAGTCTTTTCCTTAAATATCATCGCTTGAGAGGTTGAAATGCTGACGAAGTTCAAGGTTTAGGAAGGAACTGTGGGTCTGCGTTTACATATACGTCCGTGAATCTTGTCGTCCTTGAACGTTGAAGCTGAAGATGCGGTATTTCGGGGAGAGGTCGTGTTTGCTATGTCCGGTTGCTTTTCCGATGCCGCTTGACCCTTTTCGAACCATCGTTTGTTGCTTTCTTCTTCCATCATGTAATCAAGGAGCCGTATCCTCTCTCTATATCCCGAATCGATCTCATAGTGTTCTTGCTTTGTCGTGCTGTCTTACATCATAGCGAATTTCAGGCTGTATTCAGCCGAATTCCAACTCTTGCTTTTTCAGCTTGCAGCTTTCAAATCGACTCGCAGGCTGGATTCAGCCGCTAGTAAGCTTTCAACAACGACATACCGCAGCATCTCTAAGTGCCTTGCTTGCTATCGTAGGTGGCTGAATTACAAGTCTTTTCTTTTTCGACCCGACGTGCAGGCTGTATTTAGCCGCTAGAAATTTTTCAACAAACGACAGCCTCTCAGTGGAATTCATACTGCAGTGTCTTTGCTATTGGCGCCAATTTCAGGCTGTACTCAGCCGAATTCCTTCTGTTTCGAAACTTGCAGGCTGTATTTAGCCTTTATCAACAGGCTGCTTTTCCTCGTTATGTCCAGGACGCCTTCAGATATTCCTCACATTTGCTTCAAATACCATCTTACAATCGACTATCGACTCCAATCTCATTTAGGCTATACTCAGCCCCATCCCAAGCTCATCTTCGACTCAACTTGCAGGCTGTCCTCAGCCGCCTTTCCAGCGATAGAATGATTGCCCAGCTGAAGCGACTTTCTGCTGTCTATATCGCTCGGTAAGTGTCTACAATGAAGTTGGTTAGGTGTTGAACTTAACGTTATCTTATACGTAGATTGCATCGCAATGCAGCGAGCCAAACCCAAGTGCAAAAATCATCTCATATACTCAAGCGTCTTTTTTCGAGTCTCGCTTGCACAGTTTGGAAAATGCAGCTTCCCGTTCAAGTGGATTCGTTGAATGTTCTTGCAGGCTGTACTCAGCCGCTCGAAATCATCCAATATGCATCCTCTTGCATTGGTACGCTCATGAAACATTTTCTGGTTTGAAGCTTTACTGACGCTACTTTTCTTTCAGTTACATCGATCCTTATTTCCTTATTGCGACTGTCTCTTCGGTATACGGTATCATACCATCTCATGAGTGAAATCGTACTTCACGTCGTCCAAATCCACTTCTCGGACTGTCTTTTGTTCTTCCATCATGTAACGATGATTGTCTTTTCTTGCCACACCGAATTCTGGCTGCACTCAGCCGAATCTTTTTCGTTTTCGACTCGAATTGCAGGCTTTATTCAGCCGCGACGATTGACAGTTTCTCAGTGGAATCTATAGCTCAGCATCTTTGCTATCGCGCTAATTTCAGGCTGTACTCAGCCGAATTCCACGTCTTCTGTTTCGAAGCAACTTGCAGGATCTATCAACGGACTGCTTTCTCTTTACTTTGTCCAGGACGCCTTCTGCTTTGCTGAGACTGGGCAAATCGAGAAGATTGTTTTGCACGCCAAAAAAGTTGGCTACAGTCCGGACTATGTTGCTCTCTTGCAGCATGTTGTGCGTGTCAACCCCGAGAAGGGTGCCGAATTCGCCTCGCAGCTTGTCAACGACGAAGCGGGACCTATGGTTGATGTAGAACGCGATCGTCGATATCTTCATGTCCCAAAACATGATTCAGCCTGCGACGTCTTTCCTCCTCGATGCATTAAAGGACAACAAACCCGAGCAAGGCCCACTCCAAACCCTGTGTGCTGGAGATGAATCTCATGCACGCCCCACAAGTCGCGGATGCTATCCTTGGCAATGAGATGTTCACGCACTACGACTGTCCACGGATCGCCAACCTTTGCGAGAAAGCTGGATTGATGCAGAGGGTATGTATTTTAGTCTTAGCTTGTGACCGTTATTCTAACTATTGTGCAGGCTCTTGAGCAATATGAGGATTTGGCAGACATCAAGCGTGTTATCGTTCATGCAACGACATTCCTGGTCGAGGTAGGTTATCTCGATTCACAATTGGTTTCTGATTCTAATGATTATTCCTAGTGGCTTACCAACTACTTCAGTTAGCGATGGATTCTCTTCATGCAGCTGTTCCAATTGAAATGCCTTCGGCACTACTCCGACACATCTTTGGAGATGGGTTGGTTTTGCATTTCGCGTAGATTGAATTGCGATGCTACGAACTTTCCTGGTGTGACCAATTTCGGACGTAGTGGGAGAACGCTGTTTCGAGGTCGATGCCGACGTCAAAGAATCCGAGCAAGAAACAGACGACGACGATGACGACGAAGAAGAAGCGGACAATATTGCGGACAATGCTGTCCCGATTGACACAGTGAGATGTGGATTTCTTTCCTCATTGCGTATCATTGACACCTTCTTCAGATGATGGTCAAAGATGTCACTCGCCCTCGCAAACGAAAGAAAGGTACTCGTCGTCGAAAGCGCAAGTCTAAGGTCGTCCTGGCCGACTTCGCGAATATCGATGAAGCTGAGGAGCTCCTTACTCTTGCCAAGGCTGTCTACCGCAGAGAAACTTGTTTTAAAAACATGTTTCCTGCAACAGACCTCAAACACCAGCCTGCTTACGTGGACGTAGTTGCTGGCCTACCAGAGAAAGATCGTAGGCGGGCAACTTTTGAATGATTCGGCGATGATGAATATTATGACCTCCGGATACGATCTCTGACATATGTTGGTTATTGCATTTGATGTGCGCTTACTTGCTCATTGATTTTGTGCAGGCGAATTATGCTAGCTCCAGTGTACGATATGACTTTGGACAGACCACTCGGCCTCTTATATGTGCCAAACTGCAACTGGCATCTGGTGACAATGTGCGCGGTTTCCCAATTGTTTCATTTGCCCGACTGATAATCTTTAAGTCTCGTCTTGTCTCTGGATTATTGAAGGACAGAGTTTTTCACCATGACCAGCTTGATCTGAAGATGGCGACAAGCACTGGCCACCCTTTCCGCTCCAATCTCATTCCCGATAACGAGGTCCTAACTGTAGATATATAAAGTTCAAACCCAAGTTTGAACCAACAACACAAATGGTAAGGAATGATCGTGCTCAAATGTTACGCGAGTACTGGTGAAGGCATTGTCAAAGGTTCCGCCAAATACTTGTATCTC